CCACTGTTCTAATAGCTTTACGTTTACTGGAATGTTCACTATTAATCGCTCTTTTCCTTCATATATACATATATATATATATATATATAATTCAAATTGGCATGTACTGCTGTATTGAAGTTCCCGTATCACCAGGCCAAACAATTTATTCTTTCCTCTGAAGTTCAATAGCACAGGAATTCTGATACATAGGCTTCCAAACTGTCTTTTAGACTACATATGTCTTGTTGTTTCTCTTCTTCGATCCTTATGTCAGAAAACTTATATCAAAAGGCCCGTAGCCTTTATGAAAGCTATCGCGCAGTCTATATCTTCTCGTGTACCATGCAGTTTTGTCTTCAGTGTGGTTGGAACAGGCCAGATGGCGTCTCTGTTGTCAACAGTGTTGCCACTTTGGATCTTTTATATCCAAATTTAGATCTTTTTAATTGCATTTAGATACTATTTTTGACGCTTAGATCGTAAATATTTTTCTAGGAACTTTTCACATGGAGTTAGATATTTTATAGATTTTTTTTCTTTCATTGTCAATTTAATAATTACTGTGTAAAATATTTACTACAATATTTTTTTTGGGTCTGGCACTTACATTGTGACAACTGCCATTACTTTAACTTTGAACTCTCACTGGGGTCAACGCACAAATATCTGTCAGCCCCGGTACTGATCAATAAAAACGCGCGTAAATCATACTAACTTTGTTTCAACGGTATCCTCACTGTGCTGACTTTGCGTTTCTTTTTCGTGTGATTTAAAAAAAATAATTGCTCACCTTCTTAAGTGGCTTTCACTTTGAAAAAACCTTTCAACATGCCAAAAGTAAAGTATGAGCAAAAAATTTGGAAAGAGTGGTTGCATGATGACAAAATTAAAAACTGGGGATATGTCCAAGTGTGATGTAGAAAGTATAGTTTAGGAACTGAAGGACCTTTTAATCAGCAAACAGTTAGGTTTGAAGAATTTGGCTGTAATTGGTACAGATAATGCCTCAGTGATGGTTGGTATAAACAATGGCGTTTATGCCAAGTTGAAGGAAGCTAACCCATCGTTAATACTTATAAAATGTATGCGTCATTCATTGCAGCTAGCATTATCACATGCTTCATCTAAATATTTACTTAGTAATTTGGAATACCTTATTGCTGAAACACTTTACTGATTTTCCAAATCATTTGTCAGACAACAGCAATGAAATACATTATATACAGCCTAGAATGATGGTTCCACACTACCGAAAAATCTGTCATATTGCAAAACTAGATGGTTATCAATTTAAAGCAATGGCTGAAGTTGAAGACACACTTTGAAATAACAAGACAAAGTGAAAAGTGCTACATAGCTGAAATGCTATATGGAATGTACAGTGATGACAAAAATGTGTCATTCATTCTCTTTTTATAACCTATTCTAATGAAAGTGCAAAAAGTTAATAAACTGTTCGAATCTAAACTTGTTGATAAAGTTAAATTACTTGATGATCTCACCTTGCTATTTCACTCGGTAAAAGACTGGTGTTGCCAACTTTTAAAGCTGATTTGCTTACTTGCACTATAGAGAGCTATTTGGCTCCTAAACCACACCTTGGATGTTAAATTGAATCAAAAATTGATGATTTAAAAACAAAAGGACTGTTAACAGAGAATGAAGAAAACAACTTAAGAAAACGCTGTCAAGATTTCCTTATCTTATTATTGAAGCAGAGACTTCCTGAAAATCTAGATGTTTTGAAAAATATTTCACTTTTTTCTGTGAGCAACATACTTTAGCCAATAAAGGACATACCTAAATATTGTAAAGTTATAAAATTTTTATGGGCTACTGATAATAGTGTCGCGGAAGCAGAATATCAGTTAACCAAAATAAAGTTAGCTGAATGGACAAACAAAATAGAAAACTAAAGCGTTTTGGAGTGAAGTGAGACAATTTAAAGATGCCTCATCAAACAGTCCATTTTGTAAGCTCTTTAAAGTGCCATGTCTGCCATGATACTACCCCACTCAAATGCTGACGTAGAAAGAGTTTTCAGTGCTAGGAATTATATCAAATCTAACCTAAAAACAGGATGAAATTTGACCTCTTAAATGCTATCGTGTCACTAAAATTCGGCCTGATGAGACTAGAGAAATAAGCCTAATGTTCCACTTATAAAAAAATTTGAACAGCTAAAGCATACCATGGTCATTTTGGATCTGAAGCTTCAACTTTATTATCCAAGCTAAGTTTATCCTGTGGATCTTGTGAGGCAGACATCAGTGAAGGTGAGGACATGATTATGTAGGGTACGTCAAAACAAAAGCTATGTAATTTTTGACTTTTTCAATTTGGATGTTTTTTCTAGATCTTTTCCACGCAGATGTAGATCTTTTTAGATATTTTTTGACACCGTTTTGGATATTTTTTGTCAAAGAAAAGTGGCAACACTGGTTGTCGGCATACAGTTGACTGTGTTGGATGGAGCATATGCTTAGCCTCGGGTGCCAAGTTGCAGGGGCACGTCTCCGTGTTTCCTACACCGAAAACCCTAACATAGTGTTAGCTAACTAGTTACAATCCTGTACGTGCCAGCTTGCTATAACTGATAGAACGTGTCATGCTTCAGAGAGAAGAAAAATGTCTCTTGTTTTTTTTTTTTGTTTTTTTTTTTAAATTGTATTACTTTTTTGGTGTAATGTCAAACGTGTGAATCATCTTGAAGATGTGAATAAGACGGGTGGAAAGGATGAAGAAGGCATTTGTCGGCTGTACACAGTAGCAAAGAATATTACTATATGAGGTGATCTGATGGCGGGGTTTTTAACCTTTCCGAACTTTTTTTTTTTTTTTTGCCACTGTTCCCTTGTCAATAAACAAAAATGTTGCTCAGCAGCCACCCCCCCCCCCTTTTTTTTTTTTCCTTCGTTTTCTTCTCCCCGAAAAATTCCTAATCATCGTCATGTACCGTGCCGATAGTTACGTGTGATACTGACCATCCTGTATGATCAGCAGTATCACGGATAAGGTCAGAGCTCTTGTCCCGCCCCATGTCTATGGCCAAGCCATCGCGGTATTTTTCACCCCCGCCCCCCCCCCTTTCTTCATCAAGTTTGTGGGTGAGCTGGTCAACATCTGGTACTCATTTTAGGCTGGGTCGACCCAGTAGCCGGAATCAATTGTTTTTTTTTTTTTTTTTAAGAATCCAGCTCGATGAGAATTGGAACCTAAACATTCCGGTCAGTGTCTGGCCGTTACACTACGGTGGGTCTGTGTCATGATAAAAGCTGTTAAAATTACAATGGCCACAACATAGTTACTGTGAGTGTGTTAATATCAACACTTTACCAACACTTTATATTACCACAGCACCAACACTATATATTACCACAGCACCAACACTTCATATTACCACAGCACCAACACTATATATTACCACAGCACCAACACTATATATTACCACAGCACCAACACTATATATTACCACAGCACCAACACTATATATTACCACAGCACCAACACTATATATTACCACAGCACCAACACTTTATATTACCACAGCACCAACACTATATATTACCACAGCACCAACACTATATATTACCACAGCACCAACACTTTATATTACCACAGCACCAACACTATATATTACCACAGCACCAACACTTCATATTACCACAGCACCAACACTATATATTACCACAGCACCAACACTTTATATTACCACAGCACCAACACTATATATTACCACAGCACCAACACTTCATATTACCACAGCACCAACACTATATATTACCACAGCACCAACACTTCATATTACCACAGCACCAACACTATATATTACCACAGCACCAACACTTTATATTACCACAGCACCAACACTATATATTACCACAGCACCAACACTTTATATTACCACAGCACCAACACTATATATTACCACAGCACCAACACTTTATATTACCACAGCACCAACACTATATATTACCACAGCACCAACACTTCATATTACCACAGCACTAGGAGAGTAATCGGCGTCTGTGGCTTAGGCATAGCAAACGCGCTTAGTAATGCCGGAGTGCTGGGTTCGATCCCAGCTGCAGACCTTGCGACTAGCTTTGGTTTTAATAGTGGTATCGAAAAGGCGACCGTCCAGACAGCAATGGCAAACTACTGGACGTAAAAATTACTAGAAAACTCTCAACATCCAACAAATGGTAATGTTTATTCTGCAATGCTCTGTAAAGGATACGCAACTAACTTTTAACCAACAGAGTAGAGAGGCGGACAGTCAATGAGCAAACGAATAAATTAAAAGCTAACATCGGCTAAAATCTTCTAGGGAAACAAAACAACTTACAAGGATTACTAGCCACCAGCTGTGTCCATAACCGTGAGCTCTGTTAGACCTGGACCATCAGTCTACAAGATCTATCAATGTCATCCTGCAGCCTCTTAGAAGAGTGACAACTGATCCTAACAGATTCTCCAGTACTGGCTGACATTAATTAAATATTTATCCGCCAACAAAGCTTGTACCACTTCACGCCGTGCTGAGGAATCTCAAAAGCTGATTTCACGCATTCGATTTCCCTTCTCTCTTAAAGTTAATTAGTTGGAGGGGCAATTCGTCGTGAATTTCAGAGGCGGGTCTTCCTGAAAGTAAACGAAAACAGAAATCAGGTTTTTTTTTTCCCTTTTAGTTTTCACAACACAACTAAATCGCACCCTTTTTATATAATTAAAAGCTACAGGTACGGGACCCGTTTTTTTTACGCCCGTATTTATTGTGTTTATAAATCGATACTCAGTGAGAGATGTGGTCCATTTAAAGATTATGATATAAGCATGCTTGCTCGTAATCTTCCCCTCGGTGACTGCTGAGGGGTGGTTGTAGTTAAAGTTAGTAGCGTATCCTTTACAGGACGTTGCAGCATTTTTTGGCTCTTGTGGTTTTTCTAGGCAAATACCCATCCAATATTTTGCAATTACTTCTGGACGGTCGGCTTTTCTATACCACTATCAAAACAGATGCAAGGCGCAGGGCCTGCAGCTGGGATCGAACCCGGCACCCTGATATTTCAAAGCGCGTTCGCAACGCCTAAGCCACAGATGCCGACTGTGGTTGTAGGCTCTCCTGAATTTAACCTGTGGCCGCTTATACATTTCCTATGAGAAAAAGGGAGGATCGGGGGAGCTGACAAGGGGGAGGTCAATGGGCCTAAGGCTTGTTTCTATATTATTGTGATTAAAAAATAATAATAATAAATAATAATAATAATAATAATAATAATAATAATAATAATAATAATAAAAATAATAATAATAATAGTAACATGTAAAACAATGTAGCGAATCACTAATAAATGCAATAACATTTTGATAAACTTCTTACGTTGATCTGTAGTCCGCTTAACTCCCATGCACATTTTATTTAGCAGAAGTGGCGTGGGGGTCTATACATGCCCGAGGGGCCCAAGCCTCCAGATTCCGGCGCCGCTGGTACCAGATGGACACACGTCTTGACAACATATTTAATTAAAAACATTTGAAGAGGCAGTTAGTCATGTATATGAATGAGAAACATTTTGACAACATTTTCAATAAAAGACATTTGAAGAGGCCGTTAGATATTTATATGAAGGAGAAACGTCTTGACAACATATTTAATGAAAGACATTTGAAACGCTATGAAGGAGAAACGTCTTGTAATGAAAAGACATTTGAAGTGGCCGTTAGATATTTATTGAAGGAGAAACGTCTTGACATTTAATGAAAGACATTTGAAGAGGCCGTTAGATATTTATATGAAGGAAAAACGTCTTGACAACATATTTAATGAAAGACATTTGAAGAGGCCGTTAGATATTTATATGAAGGAGAAACGTCTTAACAACATATTTAATGAAAGACATTTGAAGAGGCCGTTAAATATTTATATGAAGGAGAAACGTCTTGACAACATATTTAATGAAAGACATTTGAAGAGGCCGTTAGATATTTATATGAAGGAGAAACGTCTTAACAACATATTTAATAAAAGACATTTGAAGAGGCGCCGCAGTTAGAAACATATTTGAAACGCAGGCAGGACATTTGCATGCAGATAAAAAAAAATATTGACTAAAGCTTTATTGAAAGACATTTGGCGCCGCAGTTAGACATTTGGCGCCGCAGTTAGGCATTTGCAGGCGGAAGAAAAAATATTGACTAAAGCTTTATTGAAAGACATTTGGCGCCGCAGTTAGACATTTGCAGGCGGAAGAAAAAATATTGACTAAAGCTTTATTGAAAGACATTTGGCGCCGCAGTTAAACATTTGCAGGCGGAAGAAAAAATATTGACTAAAGCTTTATTGAAAGACATTTGGCGACGCAGTTAGGCATGTATATGCAAGAGAAAAGTCTTGACCCCACCTTTATTAAAAGGCATTTCTCGCAGCAGCTAGAAATTTACAAGCAGACCGAAATGTCTTTGGTAGAATCCTCATCAGGGCGGAAGTTTTAGAAAGGACCCTAGTTTCCAGGTTAACCCATCATAATGGTATAGACGGGTATATATGCATATATATATATATATGAATGTCACCCGTAAAGTGTATCTTGCACCGATGTTTCTCTGGACCAAAAGTTTTGCCTTGATATGTTTTATTTGGGACAGTCTTGGAGGACATGATCTGTTGTCTCGGCCCTTATTGACTGTTAAATCTTTAAGTCGCCCAGGTGGTCAGTTACACCATGATGTACCTGGGTGAGGAGCAGCTGGCCGAACGGTTAGCACGCTGGGCTCTCAAGCGGGAAAACCGGGTTCGAATCCTCGGTAAGGCTAGGAATATTTTTTTTTCTGACTGGGACAGAGTAAAATCCTCACCTGCACAGTCGTGGCGACACCATGTAGACGTTAATCCTCAGGCTCAAAGAACCCCCCTCCCCTCCCCCTCCCCCAGACCGCAAAAGTGTTATAAAAAAGGCAGTGGTTGTCAGTTGGCAGTCGCAGCTGGGTTATCCTTGATGGCTGTTCTGGACATTATGTGCTGTATAGCAATTAAAAACAATAATATATTTTAAATTATAGTTTATGTATAAACAAATGACTAACATAAAATGGGATGAATTCAAGAGAGACAGAGAGAAAAAGAGAGAGACGGAGAGAGAGAGGAGATCAAAGAAATGCCTGAACAAATACCTGTATCGACTGCAAAAAAAAAAAAAACACAGAAGGTGGAGATATATTGGCCACACTCTGAGACGAAATGAAAAAAATAATTACAAAACAGGCACTGAAATGGGAAACAAACGTTCTTAAGAAAGAAAAAAAAAGCACATCCAAGAAAAACATTTTAAAAAAAAAACATAATTACGAGAGGGCTAGAAATGCCGAGCTCAACAAAGTTGCATACAGAATAGAGGAGTGGAGAAATGAATGTTTGAACCCTATGTGACGTTTAATGGCACATTAAAGATGATGATCGTGATGGCGACGATGATGATGATGATGATGGTGATGATGATGATGATGATGATGATGATGATGATGATGATGATGATGATGATGATGATGATGATGATGAAGATGGTGATTGTGATGATGGTGATGATGACGGTTATTATCATGATGATGGGAATGATGATGGGGACGGTGATGATGATGATGGTGATGATGATGATTATGATAATAATGGTGATAATGATGGTGATAATGATGATTATGATGATGATGACAGTCATGATGATGATGACGATGATGATGGTGATGATTATGGTGATGATAATGTTGATGATGGTGATGATGGTGATGGTGATGATGGTGATGGTGACAGTGATGATGATGATGACCCTGATGACGATTACGATGATGGTGATGACAATGATGATGATGATGATGATGATAAAAACAAATACCTAAAAAAGAGAATGTTTGTACGTGGTTAGAGGGACCACTTTGCTCCCTTGCACATTTGATAAAATTGCGTAGTATAAGATGATAGGGCACAGCCAGCTCCATTGAACATTATTTTGGGGGAACACGAGGTGGGGGATTGGGGGAGGGGGTGTGCTCGATGGGAAGGAACCAGCAGGTTCCGGTGCTTATGATTTCCAGACACGCTTCTGTTTGTCAGACAGATTTCGTCAATGTTCGAATCCTGTATCATGTTTCACCTTTTTGCCTTCTCCACGATCCATGGAATTTTAAAACATTTTCTGCAACATTTAAAGTTTATGTTTGTTGGGTTTTAATCAATTTTAAAGCATACAGAAAATCAACATCGCAACATCAGCTCACCTGTTTGATTGAAGTGGCCATAACACAGCTGATTACACTTTTTTATACCTGCTTGCAAACATACAGTTGCGTAAATAAGGGTGTCTCACCGGCGCATCAAAGCACTTCATGGACCATTTGTAGTTTTAAGGCAGCGGGAAATTTTACGAGGTTTTTGATGACACATTTGAGCAATCTGAGTGAATAGTTTGTGAGGTTTTGGTTTGTGTAGATGTGTGATTTGGGGTTTTGTGCAGCATAGATGAGCAAGTTGGATGGTAGGTTGTGGCCTCGAGAGTTGGTAGCTTATAATTTGTGGTTCTGGGTAGTATAGATAAGTCGATGGAAAATAGATTGTGTTTCTGGGTAGTATAGATAAGTCGATAAATAACAGTTTGTGGATCTGGGTAGTATAGATAAGTCGATGGAAAATAGATTGTGTTTCTGGGTAGTATAGATAAGTCTTTAAATAACAATTTGTGGATCTGGGTAGTATAGATAAGTCGATGGAAAATAGATTGTGTTTCTGGGTAGTATAGATAAGTCGATAAATAACAGTTTGTGGATCTGGGTAGTATAGATAAGTCAATGGAAAATAGAATGTGTTTCTGGGTAGTTTAGATAAGTCGATAAATAACAGTTTGTGGGTCTGGTAGGATAGATAAGTCGATGGATAATAGTCTGTTTTATGGATAGTATGCATGAGTGGACGGATAATAGTTTGTGGTAGGGTAGTACAAATGTGAAAGTGGATAATAGTTTGTGGTTT